CCACCCACTCACCTAACCACCCACTCACCCACTCACCTACCCACTCACCCACTCAACCACTCACCCACTCACCAACCCACACACTCACCTAACCCCTCACTCACCTAACCCCTCACTCACCTACCCAACCAATCACCAATCCATCCACTCACCTATCTACTCACTGACCAAGCCATTTACCTAACCACTCACTTGATAACTCACTCGGTCACCCACCCACCTATCCACGCACCTATCCACTCACTAATTCACCTACACACCCACTCACTTACCCACTCACTCACACACCTACCCACTCACCTACCCACTCACCTACTCACCTACTCACCTACTAACAAAGACAAAGATCCCCCATAACAGACTGTTGGGGCAAGTGCTGTTCGCTAGCACCTATGAAGGCCGGCACGGGGGTGGGTGGCCAGCACCACGCCCGGCCACCTTTGTCTCCCTAGCGGCGATGTTTTTATACACCGCATCAGGTATTCATTTGAGGCTGAGTCGACCTACGGGGGAGGCGCAGGACCGCTTCAGATAATCGTCACTGGTGTTGACCGTGAGCGGGAATCGAACCCAGGTCGCCGGAATTGTAGCGGAGCGTGCTAACCGTTGCACCACCGCTCCTGCCGCCCGAGTTCCAGTTGGATTAGGAGGCCTTCGTCTATAGCAGTGGGTAGATCATGGCTCATGATGGTTATGATGAAGATGATCATGATGATCGTTATGATTGTTTAGGACGCAGACGATAAAGGGGTTAAGGATTTGGGAGAAGACTTGACATCCTGTAACTGAAGACCCAAGAGTCTCTCGACCTCATCCCCCCCCCTGCCCCCCTCCCCCACCTCCCCCTCGTACCCCAGTGTAAGTGGGAGATATAGAGGCACTCCATTTTAAAAAGTGACGTTAGATTCAATTAGCCTTACCTGTGCAAACACTGCCAACTGACAGCCATTAGTTCACGGTGAACACTTGCATTTGGAATTTCCGAGTGCGCGTTTGCGCGTGCGCGCGTGCGTGCGCGCGTGCGTGCGTGCGCGCGTGCTATGTAGGGGAGCGGTGTCGCAGCGGTTCGCGCAGTGGTTAGCACGACTAAAGCCACGCGGCCTTCTCAGCACGACCACCAGCACCGGTGACGATTATCTGAGCCGGTCCTGGGCCTGCCCGAGGTCGACTCGGCTTCAGACGAGTATCTGGTGCGGTGTAAAAAAGAAAAACAAAAATCGCCAAAAGGGAGACAAAGACGGCCGGGAGCGCTTCAGACCACGTGAGCCCGTCGTTTGTGGTGCCGCCCTTACAGCACTCGCCCCAGCAGTTCTGTTGAAGGCGACACAATGTGAGCGGTGGCAGCAGCGGCTCGATTCCCACTCACGGCCACGACATTCAGTGACGACATATCTGAACCGGCCCTCGTCCTGCCCCTGAGTAGGTCGACTCAGCCTTAAATGAGCGCCTCGTGCTGGCGTACGAACGTCCCCCCACTGGGGGAGACAAAGGCGGCCCTGCGCCGGTGATAACCACACAGCGATGGGTGCTATTCGCTAAAACAGCACTTGCCACAGCAGTTCTGTTGAAGGCTATACAGGGGACCTTTATCTTTGGGTACATTTCCATGCACATCCCCTCCCCACACACGCACGCCTCTCTCTCTCACTGCCTCTCTCGTCTCTCCAACACCAGCCATTACTCACACGCGTTTTAATTATTCATTTTAATTACTTTTTAATATTCGTCTCAAATTGGATTAGGAAATGTAGCTTTCATACCTTTTATTTTCGCTAAGCGAGATTTGATTGCGGTAATTCTAAAGAGGCCCGCCGGTTCTCCGCGCGGAGCCGGGGAGATAGCGGAGAGATGAAGGATGGGGAGGGGATGAGGGGGGGGGTCACTGGGGGGGAGGGCAGGGGGGGGGTCACTGGGGGGGGGGGCAGGGGGGGTGGTCGTGGATACTCGAGCGGTGTCCTTGAAGATGGCACCGCGTCACGAACGGTGTAACGTGAAGATGCGGCGAAAGAGATGATGGATCGGTTGACGATCTTGGGTGATGTTCGTCATGGTGGTTGGTTGGTGGTCATAGAATAACGCTACGCCGCGCTACGAAACCTGGTGACCCGAGTTCGATTGCCGCTCACGGCCAACACTGTTGACGATTATCTGAACCGGTTCTGAGCCTACCCTAGGTCGACTCAGCCTGAAATTAGTACCACTGGGGAGACAAAGGCGGTCGGGCGTTGTGCTGGCCACCCGCCCCCTCGTGTAGCGTTCAGGCCTTCATAGGTGCTCGCTAACAGCACTTGCCCCTACAGTCTGTTAAGGCTATACGGGGGATCTTTGGTAGTGATGGTATTGGTGGTGGTGGTAGTGATGGTAGTTGTTTGGTGGTGGTAGTAGTAGTGGTAGTGATAATGGTGGTGGTAGTAGTGATGGTAGTGGTGGTGGTAGTGATGGTAGTGATGGTAGTGGTGGTGGTAGTGATGGTAGTGGTGGTGGTAGTGATGGTAGTAATTGTAGTGGTAGTGGTGGTGGTAGTAGTGGTAGTGGTAGTGATAATGGTGGTGGTAGTAGTGATGGTAGTGGTGGTGGTAGTGGTGGTGGTGGTAGTGGTAGTGGTGGTGGTAGTGGTAGTGGTGGTGGCAGTGATGGTAGTGATGGTAGTGGTGGTGGTAGTGGTGGTAGTGGTGGTGGTGATAGTGATGGCAGTGGTGGTAGTGATGGTAGTGGTGGTGGTAGTGGTGGTGGTGGTAGTGGTGGTGGTAGTGGTGGTAGTGGTGATGGTGGTAGTGGTGGTGGTAGTGGTTGTAGTGGTTGTGGTAGTGGTGGTGGTAGTGGTGGTGGTAGTGGTGGTGGTAGTGATGGTAGTGGTAGTGGTGGTGGTGGTAGTGGTGGTAGTGGTTGTGGTAGTGGTAGTGGTGGTGGTAGTGGTGGTGGTAGTGGTGGTGGTGGTAGTAGTGGTAGTGGTGGTGGTAGTAGTGGCGGTGGTAGTGATGGTAGTGATGGTAGTGATGGTGGTAGTGGTGGTGGTAGTAGTGGTGGTGGTAGTGATGGTAGTGATGGTAGTGGTGGTAGTGGTAGTGGTGGTAGTGGTAGTGGTGGTGGTAGTAATGGTAGTGATGGTAGTGATGGTAGTGGTGGTGGTAGTGGTGGTGGTAGTGGTGGTGTTAGTGGTGGTGGTGGTAGTAGTGGTAGTGGTGGTAGTGGTGGTGGTAGTCGTGGTGGTAGTGGTGGTGGTAGTGGTGAGGGTAGTGGTGGTGGTGGTAGTGGTGGTGGTAGTGGTGGTGGCAGTGGTGGTGGTAGTGGTGGTGGTAGTGGTGGTGGTAGTGGTAGTGGTGTTAGTGGTGGTGGTGGTAGTGGTGGTGGTAGTGGTGGTAGTGGTGGTAGTGGTGGTGGTAGTGGTGGTGGTAGTGGTAGTGGTGGTGGTAGTGGTGGTGGTAGTGGTGGTGGTAGTGGTGGTGGTAGTGGTAGTGGTGGTGGTAGTGGTGGTGGTAGTGGTAGTGGTGGTGGTAGTGGTGGTAGTGGTGGTGGTGGTAGTGGTAGTGGTGGTGGTAGTGGTGGTAGTGGTGGTGGTGGTAGTGGTGGTAGTGATGGACCTGTGCTTAGCAGCCGTGATATACGGTACTGGACATGTCCACGGCGGTCCAGATGTCCTGTGACACCCATTTAATTCTATAAAACGTAATACATATTTATATTTTAAGTCAGGTTTATTTAAAACAGAAATGACATATGCAGAGAGGGAAAAAAACACGTTCAGTGTCAATTAATTGTTTCGAGTATTTGCCTGATGTCAATTTGCACATGATGACGATAACCCACTTTGTTGAGACAACATTTGTGATATCCAGGGTCGCCACTGAAAAAAAGCCTCGTAGCATCTCGGTGGGCCTTAACCTGGTTGAAATAAAAACAAATAGAATATAATTCGGGGCGGGGGGGGGGGAGGTCACAAGACACTTGGACCACCCTGTACACCGCATCTATATACCTACAACACACACAAACCGTGACCACGAGCAAGGAGAGTGGGTGGTGTAATCGAGCGGAGGCAGTGAGAGAGCGCGTGGCACTGGGGCGTCCTTGCCAATGGCGATCGCCGAGGCTGCTCAGCGCCGGACAGCAGAGAGCGCTGTCGGGTCGTGCGTCAAACCAGCCCAGACGCATTGCCACATGGGCTGCGGGGCCGGGGTTCAGACTGGGGCTCGTGCTGGGGTTCAGGCTAAGGTGCAGGCTGAGGCTCGAGCTGGGGTTCAGGATGGTGCTCAAGGCCTCGGTGGAGGTGCATCATGGCCGTGTCGGACGGAGTCACTCACTGAGCGTGAGTTCGAAGCAGAGACGGATCTAGAAATTCCATCAATGGGGGGCGGGGGGGATGAGAGCGTGAGGGGGCTGGGCTGGGAGTGTGTAAGGGGGATGTCAAGTCAAGAAGTAGACACCTAAACATTTAGAGAAAGCTTTGTCGACTCACGGACACCCGCACACACTTGAATCAAGATCCGTGTAATGAGCTGAATTGTGATTGAAACGGCTTGTCACGTCCAGGCAGTTGTTGGCCTCAATGTAACGACTCGCTGTGTCTCTCGTCTCTTCCTTGCCCCGTCTCTCTCTCTCCCCCCGTACCACTCCCTCACTTCCCCTCTCATCTTCACTCTCTCTCTCTGATTCTCTTTATGACTCCCTCTCTCTCCCCACCTCCGTCCCCCACCCCGCCCTCCCCCCTCACTCCCTCATCTACCTCCCCCCCCCCTCTCTCTCTTCCTCACCTGATTCTATCTCTCCATCTGCCCACACGTCACTCAACTCTCTCTCACCTCCCTCTCCTTCCCTCCCTCTGTCTCTACATATCTCCCTCTCTGCTCCCTCGCTCCCTTTCACCTTTCTCTCCTTCACCTCTCTGCTCCCTCCCTCCCTCCTCACCTCACCTCCACCCCCCCCTCTCTTCTCACCTTCCTCTCACCTCTCTCTCTTCCTCCCCCCTCACCTCCCTCCCTTTTCACCTCCCCGGTGAGCAGGTGAGCGCCGCTACCGATGCCTCTTCTGCTCGTACGGCGCCTCGCAGAAGGGCAACCTGAAGACTCACGTGCGCAGCGTCCACCACGTGACCTTCGACCCCTCGCTCTACCCGGACCGCCGCTTTAATCGCTGCCGCCTGGGGGATCGCCCCCCCCTCCCCTGCCTCCCCGGCCCCCACCCCGGCCCCCATCCCGGCCCCCACCCCGGCCCCCACCCCGGCATGTACACCCCGGATGGACCCTCCGAGCGCGGCGGTGGACTTCATCAGCGGGAGGCTGCGGCTGCGTCGACGGTGGTGACGGCAGCAGCCTCCCAGGAGGAGTTGCGTGACCCCGATGACGACGATGGCGGTGATGGTGGTGGCCGTGGTGATGGTGGTGGCCGTGGTGATGGTGGTGGCCGTGGTGATGGTGGTGGCCGTGGTGATGGTGGTGGCCGTGGTGATGGTGGTGGCCGTGGTGATGGTGGCGGAAGATGCTTTGTGGAGGTGAAGGTTGTAGGTTTAAAAGCAGGGTCATTGAATGGACCTGATTCGTGCGGTAGTGGTGGTGGTGGTGACGAGCCAGGAAAGAAGGAGGATGAAGAGGAGATTCAGGAAGAGGTTCAAGACGAGGGGGAAGGGGTTCAGGAAGATGATGAAGAGGAGGAGGTTGAAGATGAGAAAGTGGAGAGCGAAGAGCAGGAAGAAGACATTGAGGAGGAGGAGGAAGAGGAGCTGGACGCTGAGAAGGATGATGGTGACGAGGAGGTTGAAGCTGCCGCATGGACAAGTGATGCAACTCTAGCCCACGCTGAGAAAGATGATGTGGGTGACCGTGATGATGATGAAGAAGATGATGATGATGATGGTGCTGCCGACGCCGACGAGGGAGGAGTGACGCACGCGAGTTTTGGCGCGCGCCACGCAGACTGACGTCGAGACGCGGGCCTCTGGGGTGCCGTCGATGAGTCTTGCGGACATGAAGAGGAGGAGGAGGGGGTGGTGGTGGTGGTGGGAACTCTGCAGCAAACTTTTCTTCACGGATGCCCCCGGTTCTTCCGTGGACGCTACGCGAATATCGATTTCGTAACCGAGTTAGTTTTTTTTAATTAAAGATTCAGCCGCGCGATAACGATCTATTTGTTGTTGTTGTTGCTGTGAAGCCCTCCACCACCAGGCACGGCCAGACATTAAATAATAAGTATTGTCGTGTCCATTTTCACAGCAGAGTTGAGCGGTTAGACAGGCGACGCCTTCCTTGAACCTGCGTCAAGCATCGTCAGATGAGGTTGGAGACCCAGGAAGGCACACATTGTTTTGCCCTCTTTCTGACACTACATTTTTTTTCCCGGCTTTTGGTTGGCGTGAGAAAAATGTTTCTCTTTTGACGTGCTGGCGGCGACTTGACCGCTGCTGTGATCGCTCGCACACCAATGTGTACATTTCATTTGTTTTCAGGCTGCGTTGCGTGGTGGAGGGTCTTCACGACACAACATCTGGCCACGTCAATTGGGCGGTGGGTCCAATTGCCCTCCTCTCTTCCTCCGCCCCCCCCCCCCCCCCTCACGAATCTTGATGATGACTGTGACAAAAAACCTTCCGAGCGTTAAGTTCAATAGCGTTGTCTCGAGCTCACCATCATCAGCAGTAGCATCATCAAACGCTGCCGTATTACATGTCTGTACAGTGAGCCGACGTTTCGGGTGATGGGCCATTTTCAGGGGACGGATGAAGGCGTTTCTCAGAGAAGTCAATTATATCGGCTCTTAAAAACACAATAAAACAAAAAACTGAACGGAGTTCGTTGGTTCCACTAAAAGGGGTTTGATGTCTTGCTTTCTGGATAACTTGAGGCAGGGGCAGAACGTGACATCCGTTGTGGTAGACTGGACGTGGTGGTATGCGTGGGGGTGCGGGTATTATTTTGTGGCAGATGTGAAGCCCTCGCTGGTCCTAACCATTTAAATTTGTTGTAGCCACATTGTGGGCGCATCGCCTTATAAAGAAATGAAGATAATGGATAAAAAAACCCATGTTGCATTGGAAATAATAATAGACGATTTTATGTGATCAAAATGATTCAGTTAATATTAATCGATTTTTGGAAATAATTAAAAAAAGATCGAATGTTAAAAAACCCCCATCTAGTTAAAGTAAACTTCGATTTTAAAGAAATCTATTTTTTTTAATATCCAGTTGTGTGCGGCGTCACACGATGCACCGATACTCGTGCGTCATTATCCGTTATTTAAATTATATGCAAATGATGTGTAAAGTATATACACATGATATGCTAATTTTCTGCTCATTGCACCGTGCAAACTAATCGAACGAACAGAACGAGACGCGGGGGGGGGGGGGGGGGAGGGAATCATCGGCAAATGGAGCAAATATGAATTATGGAACAAACCCATTATCAATAGTTTAACCATTATCGATTCGTGACCCCGTGTGACCCCGAATCACCGTAACTCAGTAAGTCACTCGGGAGGGGAATGGTTCCATATGGAGAGGAATGTGACCAGGGATTTACTTTCTCCTGCGATGTTTTCCAGAGCTCTGTCCCGGGCGGCTCCATCTGAAATTAACCCCCTCCCACTGCTCACCCCCCTCCCCTCCGACTGCGTCACGAGTCAAGGAATTGTCACGATGCGATACGACAAAAAATACATTGTAGCGAAAGTAGCTTCCTCTAGTAGCTGAAGAGGTTGCCATGAACCCATTAGCTACAACGTCTACGAATCGAAAGCCATTGATTCGCGAGCTTTTAATTCTCGACCGCCTTCAACCAAACCAGCGTGGTGAAGTATGGCGAAATAATGCCCCCTCCCCCGCGACACGCACATGAGCACACAAGCATAGAACACGATTGTGAGATTGTCTAATTCATATGGGCGGTGTTTGGTGATGATGATGATGGTGAAGGTGGTAACGGCAGTAGTAAAGTATTTAATCCCCTTTTGCCCTCTTATAATCAATTAATTACATTTCAGCAGGAGCTGCCCGGGGCTGAGTTCCGGAAAGATCCCTCCCCCGACACGAGATATGAAGCCCTTTTTACACCCCTCCTACCCCCCACGTACCCCCCCCCCCCCCCCCCACTCATTCACCTCCCACCCACCTCCAAAAAGACCACAATCAACTTAGAGCAATTTTGGAGCAATTGTTGCCGGCAATTGACAAGTCCAGGACCCCTCCTCCCCCACCCCCACGGCACGAGGCCACGTGGGCCACGCGCAAGCTGCGGCTTCATTCCAGACGAACCGTGGCGGTCTCGCGTTGAGGCCCGACCATTTAGAGACGGCCAGAAAAAAACATCGATTGTGTTTTTGTTTGTTTATCCGTCACTGCTAAGTAAGCATCGTGGCCACACTCATCGGGTGCCAGAGTGCAGGGGTGGGTCGGGTTGGGCACCGTGTGTCTAATTTAACAAAAAGTAAGGACATCAAAAGCGAACGTTTTCCACCTTCACATATCCGTCTCTCCCACTCACGTCTTGAATAAAACTTACGAAAATGTTTTTTTTCTAACACACAATCATCATTCCGCACGCACGACCTTGGTGAAGGGAATGCGTAATTCCAGCAGCGGTGGTTTCAATGAAGCAAAACACTGGACGGGTTTCCACGTTTAGTGTCTCATCAGCAGCAGTGTCATCGGGTTCGCGTTCGACGCAGAATTATATAATGTATATGAAATTATCAAAGTTACGTAATTATTTATACATTAACATCTTTGCTTTACAATATAATTTCTAATTTCTTGCATTTTATATACATTATATAATTTATGTTCGGTTATATAATACGTCATCGGGTATCAGATGTGTAGAGGGAGCGGTAGTGTAGTAGTTAGCGCGCTGCACTACGAACCCGGCCACTCGAGTTCGACTCCCGCTCACGGCCAACATCGTTGGCTAAAATCTGAACGGGTCCTGGGGCTCCCCTAGGTCGACTCAGCCTCACATGGGTACCTGGTGTGGTGTGTAAACATCGCCACTAACCGGTCACCCCCCCCCCCCCCTCCCCGAAAACATATCCAAAGTGATCTCAAATAACCCACGTTGACTCAACGCCTGATCACAGTCCTACAGAGCCGGTGGTGGAGATCCCACATTCCTATGGTGCCGGGAAGAGTCTGTCTAGAACACAACCAATCCCACCCTTCACAGACTTTTGGGGCAAGTACTGTTAGCGAGCAGCACCTTTGAAGGCCAGCATGGCGCACGAGGGGTGGGTGGCCAGCACCACGCCACACACACAAACACACGCCTACCGGATGGACAAGGCGCGTCGAGGTGACGAAGTGCGTCTTATAATCCGGTGAAAATGGCTCAGGAGTTGCGCGACCAATTCCAATGCAAGAAACGCTGCTTCGCGCTTATCGGTCACAACGTTGATGCTCGGTGCCGTTTGTTGCTGCAAGCTTTTTTGGGTCCCTCCACAACTGTTGTTTTACAAAATAACAAAAAAAACCGACAAAAGCCATCGCCTTCTCAATCATCAGGCGATCTCATTCATCACCGCCAGGCAAACCGCTTTGTCCACATCCGAGCGAGCAGTTTGCGCAGCAAGGGCACACGTGACCGCGAGAAGTCGTGCGGCTTCCAATCGTGGAGAATTCACGGTGACCCACACGAGGGGTGGTGGTGGTGGCGAGAGAGGGGGTCACCTCGGTGAAGGTGGCTTCGGCAGTGTGTGACACGCGTCAATCGCTTACAACTGCTGCGACTCCAGTGTGGTTATCATTGCGGTGTGACCGCAGTGTGTGTGTGTGTTTCTGTCTGCGTTAAAAGCTCACAGATTCGCTAAAGATCTGGGAACAGTACACCATTATCATCCTCAGTGAGCTCTTCCGGCAGGCGAGGCTGCGTTAGCTGGGTCACATCGCTCACAAGCCCAGCCACCGCATGCCCAAAGCAGCTTCTTTTTGGCCGGATCGAGGGGGCTAAACGGGCGCGATACAGCATAGAGAAGGAGACGGGCTGATGTGGTACAGAAGGATGTGGAGCTTAGTGGACTTGCCGATGACCGATACCAGCGGTGTCAAGATCGGCCTCTAAGGAGGAGGCTCGTGAAGGACGCTACTGGGCAGCTGGAGGCAGTCGCCCTCCAGCAACAATGGAGGAGGGAGGAGCGACGCTCACAACAACGAGCGGAGCGCCGGGAGCCTAAAACACAGCAAGTTGTCAGAGTATGGGGCACAGGTGGTGCATCTGTCATTCATCTCACTCAATCAACCCATGGCACCTGGGTATATCCCGTGACCTCCTTCCAGCGGGACTTCGATACTTCGCACGGCTTCAACGTGCACCTAGCCTGGCACAGACGCCGTGTTGACGTCACCGCCACCTAGTGACGAACGGCGGCTGTGTGCAAGCTAACAGCACTTGCCCCAACAGTCTATTTTGAGGCTATACAGGAGATCTTTGGCTTTGTATGTATGCGCGCGAATGTGTTTTTTTGTACATGCGTGTACATGTCTGTGTGAGTGTATGTGTCCACGTATACACGTGCGTGCTCGCGTATGTACGTTTGTATATAGGATCGTGTACATATACAACGTGTGCGGTTAGGGCTTATATAGTTATCCACACTTTTTTGAGATGACATGTCTCGTTAAAAACAAACATTAATGATGTTAATAAACCAACTAAAGAAGCAACACAGTCTTTTGTCATCTTCATCACAAACACGTTTAGCCGGGCGGTAACGGTGGTGGTTTCGATGCTGGTGCTCGCTCAGAGCACTTGCCGCGGCAGCAGCCAGGGTTACGGCAGACACACGCGGGCAACTCCGGTAGCCGCACCTGGCGATTGGCACGGTTGGACACGTGCCGTCGTGCACTAACCACTACGCCACCGCACCCCCACCACCACCACCCCTACCACCACCCCCACCCCCACCACCACCACCACCCCCACCACCACCACCACCACCACCCCCACCATCACCCCCACGACCACCACCCCCACCACCACCGTCCCCACCACCACCACCACCACCCCCACCACCTCCACCACCACCCCCACCACCGCCCCTAACACCGCCGCCGCTACCACTGCCCAGCGAAGCGATCAATCGCTGGAATTCCACTGGGCCGGAGGGGGGGTGGGTGTGTAAATAATCCCGATGCAGCGCCTTGCAGCCGCTAGAGGCCCCACCCACTACGTGAACCGCGATGTTGGGGAACAACAAGAGAGAGAGAGGCTCGTGCGAGGAGTCTCCCAGAACCCCGACATGGACGAGGACCGTCACGACCTCCCACGGTCTGGAGCGACTCCGGTATGGGGTCGTGCTTTTTTGTTTTGTGGAACCAAGAAAAGTCAATACAGTATTTCTCTTCATCTCCTCGTCGAACGCCTCTCACTCCACCCCCGTGCCTCCCCCCCTCCCACTCCCACCACCCACCAATTCACTGCCACATCGGGGACCCGCTTTAATCTCCAAAGCCGCCGGATAATCACAACAAGCTCCGGCCAGTGATCAGAGTTTCCCCTGTGGTCAGCTTGGACTTAATCACCAACCCCCCACGCCCCCCCCCTCCTTCTCCCCCCGCCCCTCACCCCCAGTCTCCACCGCCCCTAACCCCCCACCCTCCTAACCCCGCCCCTCACACAGTCGCCCATGCCTTTCCAAACCTGGTCTCTTTGAGTTATTGGCTCGTAAAACAAATAAAGAAATAATTGAAACATTCCTCATCCTCCTCGTCCGGTTTTATTTTTATTTTTGCTGAAAATCGATTGGGCAGAAATGTGTCCGTCGTGTGACCCGCTGTTTTTTTATTGTCTTCGTCGGGTGGTGGAGGGCTCCAATTAAACACTGACACGGAACCGACAAGATGACCTAACCCCACACGGAAGTGAATATGAATGAAAAAATTGGTCCTGAAAGTCTACGTGTGTATATTACATATCGTAAAAATACTTGAATGAATGTGCGCTTCTTTCTCCAGAGGAGAGAGAGATAATGATGAGTGTTATGTGCGTTAGGAACCCGGCCACCCGAGTTCGATTCCCATTCACGGTCACCAACACCAAACGATAATGATCTGAAGCAGAGCGTGGAGTTGGCCACCCATCCCGTGCCTGTCCGGCCTTGATCGGTGCTACTCGCTAACAACTTGTCCCCAACAGTCTGTTAAGGCTACACGGGGGACCTTTGCCTGTGGCCTTTGTCACGTGGCGGAGACTCAGCGTGGTGCTCAGATTGAGAGGAGAGAGAGGGCGCAGGAGAGAGACAGAGAGAGAGAGAGGGAGAGAGGTGTGGGGAGAGACAGAGAGAGAGAAATCTGGAGCCAGTCTGACTGGGCCGAATGCCGCGCCGGGGAACGCTCAACATCCATTATTACCACGAGGGCTGGCGGGGGGATGGGCGAGAAAGGGGGGGGGGTCTATTGAGACCGCTTTCTTTTCTCTCAGACGCCTCCCACCTCCACCACAATCGGTCTCTTAAACCGCAACATTCACCCGAGTGCCTCTCTCTATCTCCTCCTTCCACCTCATATTCTCTCATTTCCTCTGTCTGTGTCGCTCCCTCTCCCTCTCGCTCGCTCTCTCCGCTATCCCCCCTCTCTCCTCTCTGGTCTGCATGCCTTCTCATCTCTCTATCTCCTATTTTCTCTCTCCCTCCCACCACCCCACTCAACTTGCTTCATTTTAGCCGCGCGGCGCTCCACTCGTTGTTGTGAGCGTCGCTCCTCTTGTCTTCCGCGACTGCCTCCAATTGTCCAGTAGCCTCTTCAGCGTGCACCTAGCCTGGCGCTACCCAGTAGCGTCCTTCACGACGCAACATATGAACGAGATGAAATATTCCCCGTACAGCCTTGACGGAATAGCGAGCACCTATGAAGGTCTGCACGGCACACGAAGGGGGTCGGGTGGCCAGCACCACCCCCGGCCGCCTTTGTCTCTCCAGTGGCGATGTTTTACACCGCTGCCACCAGGTACTCATTTGAGGCTGAGTCCACCTAGGGGAGGCTAAAGACCGGTTCAGATAATCGCCACCGGCGTTGGCCGTGAGCGGGAATCGAACTCGGGTTGGCCGAGTTCGTAGCGCAGCGCCCTAACCGCTACCACCACACGAGCAACACAACACACAACTCAGCCTGGCCACTGCAAAGCGAGGCCCTGGGGGTGACACGCGTCTTTCCCTATTGCCTCCTTGGTCACCACGTAGTCACGGAGCGCGACACGGGCGATGTTGCCAGCTGGACAAAATATCACTCCCCCCACCACTCCATCACCCCTCCAAACCCCCTCGAGTACGTAATGAGTGCGGCTAAGATTCGGCACGCGGTAACGGACATATAAATATATATATATAGACAAATACGAAGACAAAGATTACCCGTATAGCCTGACAAGACTGCGGGAGGAAGTGCCGCTAGCGAGCACCTATGAAGGCCGGCACGGCACTCGTATAGTTTGCCGTGGTGCTGCGGTGGCGAGATAATAAGGACCTCGCCTGGTAGTTAGTGGGTTACATCCCGACCCTGACGCCTGTTGTATGTTTGGAGTTT